GTTGAGCCTGGTTCTGCCAGAGGTTTCTTCCCAACCGGGAGTTTTTTCTCTTCACTGTCACTCATCATGGAAAGGTTCTCTGAACCTGTGTTATCCAAGCTGGACCTCCATCTTCCAGGTCCCTGAGTAAGCTCTAGTATTAGCCCACGCAGTCCACTGGATCTCCCCATAAAGCTCACCATACAGTCTCCCTAACCAGCAGTCTACAGACTGACCAACTTCATCCATCTCCACTCCACCACCACTTTAAGGCCTGGGGGGGGAAACAGCCCTATTCTTTGCTCCGGCTCATCCATATCGATAAAAAAAAAAAACCTTAAGGTTCCCGCCCAAGGCCGAACACCAAAAAAGAAGTGGGGCAAAAAAATTCCTCCAAATGGCCTTTCCCCTCAAGGGAAGTTTTCAAAAAAAAAGAGATTTTTTTTTTTTTTTTACAAGCCACTACTATTAAGGACTTAGGTTTAAATGTAGTTATTGTAAAAGGTGTAAAACATGCCTAACCCTAAATAGAAATTAAGGGATAGGCATGTTTTGGTTAAGATTAGGGTAAGATTCAAAGATAGGCCATAACAATGCATAGGAAATGAAAAGAAGTCAATTGAAAGTCCCTGTAAGGAGAGCAGGACATAACATAAATCAGCTTGAGATCCGTAAAAAAGCTGTTTGTGCAAATTAGCTAATGTTTTCTTACAGTAAAAAGAGAATATAAATGAAAATGAATGTGTGATGTAACAGAATAATGAATGTATCATAAACGCCCTGAGATATGGTCTATTCCAGACATGACCAATCCTTTTTATGGTTCCTTTCTTATTATGTTTTTTTTTTCTTTCTTTTTTTTTACATTACGTAAAAAAATTAGTCAACTTAGTCTTTATGATAATTAAGCTATTTTCTAGGAAGCGGCTGGGTTCTGAATGGCTCAAGAATGCAGCCTTCAACTCTGACCAGATTGTGTAAAGGTTATCGCTTGGTAGGAAACTGACTCAGGAATTGGATACAAAGTGGGAGGAAGATCTCTGTTATTCTTTTTTTTTTTTTACACACTGGCTGGTAGAACACAGCCAAGAAAGTGTTTACTTTGAGTGTCCTGATGAAGGTCAAGTGCAACAGAGCAGAGTTAATGGCTGTTTGGCAAGAGGAGCTAAATTTGTCCTATTCTGGAGAGGTTTAACATGCCAGTGTGTTCAAAATGTTTTCTTTTACTGTATTTAATTTTGCATAGGGGAAATCCCTGAGCCAGCAACCTGGGATTGTAATAAATGCTTCTGTATGAGGCAGGCCTTTGAACCCAAACAAAAAGGAACCCCTGAACAAAAAAGTAAAACAAAAGCTTTTTTTTATTATTATTATTATGAAATTTTCAAAAGAGCAAAAAAATTCAGTATGCTTTTTGACCAATCACAGATAAGTTATATATCTATACAACAAGACGTCTACAACGCTGTAGTAGAGTCTGTAATGTCCCTATGATTTCCATTTTCAGCAGACATCATTTATAATCCTTTCACCTGCAAATTGTCGCTAATGTATGCAGTTTTGCAATATAGGTATGTAGTGACAGAGTATGACTTTTTTTTGTTCGGGGGGCAAGAGATCAGCAAGGTAATCTTAGGAACACAGACATGAGCATGAATTTGTTTTCCAATTCTTACCAGGCTTACTAACAGTAACATTTTGCACTAGTAACTTTATTTGTATGTGACAAGAATTTTATCTAAGTTAGAGAATTCTTACTGAAGTGAATTCTTTGTTTTTTGCGCTCTTTCCACCTCTATAGCACCAGCAAATGAACAAGATTGATCTGGTAATGCGACAAACCAATCATCTGGGAAGTAGATCCCCCCGACCCACCCCTGTATTAGGAGTGTCCTCTAAAAGCATCAGTTGAACATTAAAATCTGTAAAGTGTGGCTAAACACCCCTCCTACCCCGAGTAATTTATCACTCATCACATCTCGGTTAAATTTAAGTTTTGGCCTTTGGGTTTTTTTTTTAACTAAACCTTTGCCTAATTTTCTTTTGGAAGGTAAACCTCTGCTCCAGCTCCATACATTTTTCTCTGTCCCTACTAAGAAAAAAAGGAAAAAGATCAAAGCATGATGCTTCCACCACCATGTTTAACTATGGCGATAGCAGGTCATGTTGATGCATAAAGTTATTTATTTATAGCTTTTTCTTTTAGCCCAAAAAATTTCAGAAAACAACATACATTTCTTCCATGTAAACAGAATTAATTGAGTGCAGGACTAGTTTTCCTACTCATAATTTATTACAATTGAGCTGTGGCTCTCTGTAGCCTCCCTGGCATCACCAAATGGACCCCCCAGCTGCTGCTCTCCTTGCCTGCAGGTTTATACTGACAATCATCACTTGGAAAGTTTCATTTTTGAGTGATATATTGATCAGAGTGATATTAGCTGTTCAAAGTTTGGGTTACTACAGTTCTTTAATCCAATGTTGATTCTAACTTCTCGACCGCTCTGCAACATGCTAGGTGCACTTAATCTCTATCAAACCTCAGACATACACCTTTATACATGGTGAGGTTTATAAAGTTGATGCAAGTTTGAAGATATATGTTGATATAAATTATTATGACCTGCTAAAATCTGTTGAGATTATAAAAATACACCGAGGTTATATACTTTTGATTTTATCAGGAGGTTAATCAGCATCTCCCAGACATGAAAGGTTGCAAACAAAATTGAAAGAAAAACTCATTATCTGCCTCTAGCCCGTCAAGCAAACTTTCCCTCAGCGTAACAGGATGTGGCAGTGATTGCAGCTTGCTCATACCTTCCTGTATGGACTTTACCCTTGGCAAACAAACTCCAACTCATATGAAGTGATGCCAAGACAAAGACGGAACATAATATAAGATCAAAAAACATGAGTTGAAAGAAATGTTTAATTTAACAGAAATTAAGAGTGCTTTGTATAAGTATGGGCTTTCGCTGCGAGTTTAATGCTGAATTTAAATTGGATGATAACGGAACACATGGTTTGGAGTCATAGATGAAGGTAGCCATCTCTACAGGAGAAGAGGAGTTATTTTTTGTCATCAGACCAAGTGACCTCGTAGTCACCGAAGACAGTTTTCAGCTTCTCCACAGACACAGAGTGGTCTGCTTTCCCAAATGCCTGCAAAGAAGAATGAAAGTATCAGTATGAAAACAACAGAGAAGGAAATCATTTAAACATCTCTCAACTGAAATGAACTCACAGTTGATTCTCCAAACACCCTGATCTTCTTGTTTTTGTTGTCGTGCTCTATCTTCCCTCCTCCAAGGCATTTGCACTCCATTCCTAAGGCCTCCAGAGCTGGATTGACCTTCTCAAATATGTGATCTGTTAAGAAAACAAATATATATACATGTTTAAACACTAAAGCAAAATAAGCAGCATGTGAAATATGCTTTCTTTTGTGTATTTGTTGAGTATTAAAGTCATAGTCTGCTTTATTCTTTCGGAAATCGTTCCAATTAGTCAGTGTTTTGAGCAATTTGACACTACTCCAGCAGAAAACCTGCCCTTTATGAACTTACTGTGGTACTCTGCACTCTTAGTGCCTCGCACTACGTTTTTCTGCGCATCGCCATCTTTTACTTTCACTCTAAGCAGTATGTATTTAAAGGTCCCTTCGTGATCAATCTCAACGTCGGGAATTTTTGCAAGAGCCTCTGCCATTGTGGCTGCTGCTCTATAAAAGCTACCAGTTAACCTCCAACTGATCACAGATCTGCAGAGAGCACAGAGCATGATCCGTTGGGTTAATTTGGACCACCGCGTCTATTTCCGCTCTTAAAGGGACAGAGCACCGTTTGGCACCGTTGTCGTGAATGCACGTCTGTGACCCCATGTGGCGGAAATAAGAAGCATTACATTCGCACTTAAATATTTAATTTATGCTGTATTAAAGAGGCCATCTTAAAGTTTTGTAAATTGCAAAGGAAAACAAAAACATTTATTTATGTCTTTATGGTTTTTTGTTGTTGTTGTTGTTTTTTTAACCATTTCTACTTAAAAATATCTAAAGGGGTGTACATTTTTATTAAGTACCCTGAGTCAGCTAAGATAAAAAAATGCATTTTTTGCTGCAAAGAAACCTGCAAGTTATCTTAGGTACATGTCTACCAGCTTTAATGACTGAAATTTCTGCATATTATTTCCCCCCACAGTCATTGAATCAAAGTCAGATTAAACATAGAGTTTCTAAAAACAAATTTTTGAAACCTCGTTACAGATTCTTAATGAGATTCATGTTTGGCTTTGACTGGACTTTTCCTATGCATGGATGTGCTTTAATCTGAAGACTTTTATTGCAGATTTACTTTATCTTTCAGTTATTCTGACCAAAAGCAAACCTTACAGAGGTTTGTATCAGTTTTTAATGTCTGACCTGTCTGGTGTTTTCCATTGTTTTTTCATTATGTTTTAATGCCGTTTGTTCTCTATGTTTTTCTCACAAACCTCAGAGACTAAAATAAACAGAGACAGTTGTACACGTGCAGCATGCTTCACACGTTGGTAAATCACTCTTGGCCATTTGTGCACTTTTGCCATTAGGCCTTAGGGAAATTGATATCGCCTAATCTTAGAAACAATTTCAATGACTGATTGCTTTGTTCCACTGCCTCTTTAGTTTTGATTTGCTGTTTCTGATTGGATTTCTGGTCTTTGTTGATCAAAACATGTCATGAATTTGACCCATTATTGGTAATAAAAATGGGAGACTCCACAGCAAAAGCTCAACCCATTCCATTTTATTTATTTAACAAACAAAATTTACTGTGAAGTTCCATTCAATATCAAATCTATTAATTTATATATTGAAAATTCACAACATATTATCTCAAGGCACTAGAGAAATCCAGATCATACTTTCAGATTTGTAAAATAAGGGAAACCATACTTGCAGGATTCTATCATCAGACATTTGCTTGCATTTTGTTGATGACTCTTCAGCAATCCGTCACACCAAGCATGCATGCAGTGATAGATGAGAGGAAAAGCTTCCTTCTAACAGGAAGCAAGATCCAGCAGAACCAGGCTCAGTGTGATGTAAAGAATATATTACTTCAATGATGGGTGATGTATTTAGCCTGCCTAAACAGTGGTAAGCACAGATACAATAAAGAAAAATTAACATATGTAATACGCAACAAAAAGTATAGAGCAAAGGAGAGAAAGAGAGAGACTGGGGCTTTATTCAGGACATAGATTTATAAACCTTCATTTCCATTTGTCAGTTGCAACTAGACCATTTATGACCTACACTAGCTCAAGTTAGAACCAGGCTACCAGGCTATGACACAAATACAAGTTCATGATGTAGTTTTTGGTTCAAAAACATTTTAAAATACAGTAACCTGCATCTGGACCTTTTAAACCATCTAAACCTGGATGATACTGCTTTAATCTGTCTGGTAGCCCTCGGATTGGCAGAATAAAATGGGAAAAACTAAAAGATCTATTCTCGGGTGGAATGCAATTTTTCCTATACAGAACTTTTTATGTAATATATTCTGAGTTGTGTTTAAATAAATTCAGCTTTGATATACAATGGTTGAACTGTTATATGTGTCGTTAGGTTCCCATTCTAAACATATAAATGATCTTTATCATGACATTAAAATTTTTTAGGTTGTCTCTCTTTAGGTTTTTGTCATGATGTCTCCATTCATTGTTCCTGGAACTACTGTATGACCCAGTCCCCTGTCTCTGTGTAAAGTCATTTCACGATGCTGTTACCACAATGTTTCACAGGGGAGGAGGATTTTGTTCAGGTTGTTAGCATTATACATACAAGTTAAAACATTCTTTTAGCAATGCTTCCTCTTCTCACGCTTTCAAAAAGGTTGAATTGGTGCACTAATAACAGTTTTCAACACTTTCAGATCCTTATTTGTACAAGAGAATGTAAAAACAAATATATTTTTAATCTGAGTCGGCACTCTCACTCATGCAGTCTTAGACTTATATGCTCGTGGTTTTGGTAGCTTCTCAGGGCTGCTCACAACTTGTTTGGCAAACGTTTTTATAAGTTCTATATGAACAATATGTTTTGCATATTGGCTGCTGTTAGAAATTTTATATCTGATTCTGATAGCTGCAGTTTTACTGTTAGAGATTGTTAGTGCTAGTTTTGTGTTGTCATTTTCTGACAAAGCTTTTGGGATTTTGTTGAAGTTAAAAGTTTATGGTTGTGCAGTTATGGTATGTTCATTTATACAGAGTGCAAAATATATGACTATTGCATGTTAAACCTTTTCCTGAACAATCTTGCCAAGAATTCAAATAAATCTTGCAGCTTTAGGATTTGAGCCAATTACGGAAAAAGTTTTCTGAGGAAGCCACTAATCTACTATCAAGTTGGATCCAAGATGAGCTATTGTCTTTAAATAAACATTTTGAATTTACTTTAGGAAACTTATCGCCAAGCAGCATTGTATGTGTTGTTACTGAGCATCTGTACACTTTGTTTAATGTTCCTGCATAAGTGGATGCCATTTTCAATACGGAAGTTGTAATTACCAATAGGGATACAAATAATCCCGTCCATTCCAAATTACAGCTAGAATTCAGCAGTTTTTCTGTTTGTTTTTTTTCTTTGCCAAAAGAAGATCCTTCAAATACCGGTATATAAAAGAAATGTGTGTGGTGTTTTCCAAAATGAGTGTTTAGTTTATTTTGGTTCTCACAGACAAAAACAACAGCAGATAAAACAATGCATGCTTGGTTAACTAAAGGCTCTCAATTTCTTTTAAGTAGGTACATGGTTAAGGTATATGTTTTGTCTCTGTGACAGCCTTGAAAACATTTCCAGGGTGTCTCCGTCCTCTCCCCCCTTGTTTGCTGGATTTAGATCCAGCTCCCCTTCCACCCTGAAAGGATTAAGCCGGCACAGGAAAATGGTTTGATACCTCAAGCAAATTTGTAAAAAGGTCCATTGTTTTCAGTAAAACTAAAGCTTAGTATCTGTCCAAAGTGCAGTCCTATGTGAGTTAATCAAAGCCTTGTTAATGTTTTTCCGGTAAAGAGGTTAGGGTTGCGAGGTGTCAAGGAGCAATGGCTAATGTCCAGCACCTTGAGCCAGAGAGGAAGGATGTGAGCTGTCACCAGGAGGAAAAAAGTCAGCCTGTAGGCGCCTCACATTAAACCGCGGCTCTTCTATCCTCATGGGAATCTTTTAAAGAGTCTACATACCTTTTTGCATGATATTCTCATACTGGAAATTCCAATTCATTTTGAATCGTGAAACCTATGTTACAGGTCATGTATTGTCTGTTGGAATACCTTTTTTTACAGCAATTAGTACAAATGAAAGGACTGAAATCAATGGGTAAAATGGGTTTAGTGTATATATATATATATATATATATATATATATATATATATATATATATATATATATATATATATAATGTTTTTTTTATATCCTTTTTTTGTACATTTTCACAATCAGACCAACATGTATTCATCCTTGTATGAAGAAGGATTTTTTCTTAATCACAGGAGCCTCCAATAATTATATCTACATTTAGACAGGTATTAACCTACGGTAGGTTAAATCTACAGTCATTGAAAAAACATATTAGACCGGCCTTGTTTTCTTTAATTTCTTCTTTTTCATGCACATTACCCAAACAATGCCATGAGCAGAAAAGGAAAACAAGGATAGTCCAATGCAATTTTTCATCCATCTTCTGCTTTTCCATCAGGGTCATGGTTGGGACGGTGCCTATCTCCAGCAGCTATGCACGAGAGGTGGGGTACAGGTCGACAGTCTGTCTCAGAGCAGCATTATATTTTATGAATGTGAATATAAATAATTCCATCCTACTCAGATAAAGATCGAGGAGCAAATTATTGTCTCAACTGTGACACAGACCCCCCCAAAAAATTGAAGAAAGAATATCCCTGTTTTAGGTTAGATAAAACTGCTGAAATGTTCTTCTAAGGACTTTGATAAAAGAAAATTCCTCACAATTTTCATGCTTCTTGAATCTTTAAGTACAGTTTCTTAAAAAAAAATCCTTGCTAGGAAATTCTAAATCCTAAATCTCAAAGGGTTTTATAGACAGGAAAACAGCCTGTACAGTTTCTATGCTATTTAAAACTTTATATTTGTGTTGCTTTTAAAATACTTGTTTTTGCCTTTCTAAATATGTATTGTTTTGTTTTTAAACATCATCTTGATCCAATGATAATTTGTGAATCTATGCTGATGCTGAAATTTAGTTTTGGTTGCTCGATCTATGAAGTGGTTTAGAATATTAAAATGAAGAGAGAAATTTAACAGTCTTTTACATCCAAGGGAAACAAATGGGTTGCAATTAAAATAGTTTGAAAGACTATCTCAGTGACATAAAATTGACTTTCTTCCCAAAAGTCTGTAAGTTTTGCAGCTATGCACAAACATGTCAGCTATACTAACCAGCACACTGGAGTACCATGAGGATGTTTGAATAGATTGCATTTGTAAACACTGGATAAAAGCCAGCATCAACCTCTGACAAGCACTTCCCCACTTAAAGATTTTAATAAAACTGCTGAATGGTTCAAACTGTTGTGCGAGGACAATTGTCCCCACCCTAAAGTCAGCAAAACCAAAGAGCAAAAAGCACATGAATATAAAAACCTAGACTGCAGAAAGTTTAAATAACCTTGATTCTGTTGAATAAGGATGTTACTGTCAGGCAACACAGAATAAGCCTCCAGAAAATAAGTCCATCCATCCATTTTCTATCACGCTTATCCATGCTGGGGTCATGAAGGGTGCTAGTGCCTATCTCCAGTTTTCTATGGGCAAGAGGCAGGGTACACCCTGGACAGGTGACAAGTCCATCGTAGGGCAACACAGACACAAACAAGACAAACAACCATTCACGCACACATTCACACTAAAGGAGAATTTAGAGAAGCCAATTTACTTAACAGTCATGTTTTTGGACTGTTAGAGGAAGCCAGAGTACCTGGAGAGAACCCACTCATGCACAGGGAGAACATGCAACCCGGAACCTTCTTGCTGCAAGGCAGCAATGCTACCCAATGTTCCGCTGTCATTATCAAAAATCCATGAATGGAAAGAACTTTATGTGGACCTCCAGCTTTTGCTGCTTCTGTTGAAAAACAGTTTTCTTGTTAATTTATCTTAATTATTGTGCCAAAACTTTCAGACTGGTCAAAACTTTAATGCATCCTTTGCCCAGCCTTCATTTTATTTGTATTACCATGACTAATCTAACAAAGTTGATTGAAGCAAACATTTCTACCCTAATTATGCAAGACAATTTGGCTGTACCAAACGACCATTGGGAACCTCTACCTATCCTCACCTTCTGTAGAGCAAATGGCCACAGCTGCCCTGAACATGAGACCATGCTTAAGTTTTTTTGTATGGTTATTTTAGTTAGTTAGTATCTTATTTTCTTTTGGCCAGAAAAGTGCTAATCCAAGTTTCCCTTTAAGGACAATAAATATCTGGGTTCAAAAAATGTGCTTGAAAACTTCAGAACATTTAAGAAATGTATAAACAAGGAAACCTTAAAGTCTAAATTCAATCTCTGAATGGGAAAATTGTTATTACTGAACAACATTTAAAGTCTGAGAGTTAGAGCATCAACTGTTCAGGATAAAAAGAAAATTTAGGTTTGATGATATTTTATGTGTTTCATCATCCCTAATAGTTTACTGTGCAGTTTAAAGGGCAAGATGCTGTACGTCTTTTTTAAAAGCAGCATTTCTGCATTTAATAATGGTTAATAATTTATCAATAGACATCTCCATATATTACATAATCTGATTTAAATTAGTTGTATCTCAATACTAGCAACTTTAAAGACCAATTTTATGGTGTAAAATTCTTGAAGTAGAGGATAATGCAGTAGGATGGTATTTGTGAGCAAGTTTAGGTATAAATCAAAAACACATTAAAATAAACTTGTGAAAATGTGACATATAAAATCTTTACTTAAGGCTTAATATCTTTTCTCACAAAGAAGAAAAATAAAGAGGCAATAAGTTAGTCAGGTTTCCTAAATATTCAGAAGTGAAAGGAGACGTGAGGTAGGGGAAATTCCAAGGAAATGAAAACAGCTTCCAGGAAACCTGGACTGCATCAGAGTATAGGATATAAAAACAGGCTCCTCAACACATGAAGCTCAGAGCTCAGGAGAAGCACGAGACTATTTCATCTCTTCAGTCAACACACCTAAAATTGTGAGTTCAGTGGATTTCTTTTCCTTTTTGCTCTAAACATGTCAGTTATTGATAGTTTGGCATTGCTTTTTATTAATCAATTTTTTCTTTTATTTTGACAGAAATTCATTTTTTGATTATTACAGGAGAGTGATATAAGATGTCTACCTCGCTGATGCAGTTGGTCTGCTTTTCTTTAGGTATGCAAATGTAGCTCAAACAGAATTTCAACCATTTTGAATATATTTTTGTTACATCCTCTTTGACCCACAGTCTAACACCTGTCTCTGGTCTCTGTCATCAGTGCTGTCCATGTGGTCTACTGTATACTGCTGGTCTTACCACGCGTCGAACAACACAATGAACTGGGAATCAGCCAGAAAATGGTGCAGGGAACATTTTACTGACATGGTGGCAATTCAAAACCAAGAGGAGATTGAGCACCTGAAAACTCTGCTGCCCAGGAGGAGAGGCTACTACTGGATTGGGATTCGCAAGGTTAATAATGTCTGGACCTGGGTTGGAACCAACAAACCACTGACAAAAGAGGCAGAAAACTGGGCAACCAATGAACCAAATGGGGGCAGGCTGCAAACATCGAGCCAAGCGGAGGATTGTGTTGAGATGTACATTAAAAGGGAGGTGGATGAAGGAAAGTGGAATGATGAGATGTGCTCAAAAAGTAAAACTGCGTTGTGTTATACAGGTGAGCTCTTCATTTTTCTTCAGTTTTCCTGATCTTAAGTTGAAAACGTCATTAAAGCTTAAAATCCAAAGAATTTAAAATACGTGTTTTTTGGCAGCGTCCTGTAAAACGGATTCATGCCTCCATGGTGAATGTGTGGAGACCATCAACAGCCACATGTGCAAATGCAATCCAGGTTTTTATGGAGACAAGTGTGAGCAAGGTGAGAAAATGTACTTAGTTTTTTTTATTTTTTTCCAGTTTTGGTTCACGTTGGTATTTACCTTTAAATGCATTTGACTAAATGTATTATGTTCTATTTGTAGTTGTAGAATGTGACAAAGATGCAGTGATCCCCCCCCAAAAAGGAAGGGTTGATTGCATCCATAAGTACGGGAACTTCTCCTATGACTCGCTGTGCCAGTATTCCTGTGAGGAAGGATACCAACCAACTCTGTCAGAACCTCAGAGATGCCTTGCAACAAAGGACTGGTCCAGTCAGGCTCCTACGTGTGAATGTAAGTCTAACTGTAACAGAAAGCAACACAGGAGGAAGCATTTCAACCTTTTCTGAGTTAGTAATAAAGGTTTGTATTCATTTTTTGTCCTGCCGCCTGCAGTGGTTCGGTGTCAGGAACTCTCTGCTCCTGCAAGAGGATCAGTCAATTGTTCTGACCCCCTGGAAAAATTCAGCTATCTTTCAAGCTGCAGCTTTACCTGTGAGGAAGGATACCAACTGGATGATTCCTCCTTCTTTACTCTACAATGTGAATCATCGGGGAAATGGAACACATCAAAGCCATCGTGTGTCGGTACGGCTGCTGATTTTCCACAATTAGAAAAACTTTTTTTAACAATAAAGATCACATTTCTGTCTTTTAGACAAACTGAAAAAGGTTTATTTGACATGTTGTAAAATCGTTTGCTGCTGTCCAGTGCTCTGTACTCACTTTAAATTGAGGCTATTTTGTAAACTTGTGTTTTCAAGAATTGAAAAATATTTCAAAAGCTTATTTCAATTCAATTTTTTTTTTTACAGCTGTTCAGTGTTCTGCTCTTCAGGATCCAGACAATGGTTTTATGAGCTGTGAAGACATGACTTTCAGCTATACAAAGTCCTGCAGCTTCAGATGTTCCCCTGGCTATCGCCTTGTGGGACCAAGCAGGGTCACATGCACAGCAGCAGCTGAATGGAGTGAGCAGGTGCCACACTGTGAAGGTGAGAGTTAACTTTAAATATGCACTCCTTAGAAAAAGACCTGAAGCCACTTTAAGAATAAGCAGAAAGGTCTTGCATAAAAATTCTATAACTGAATTTTTTTTTTTCCTTTCCCAATGACAGCCATAACTTGTCAGAATCCGGGAACAGGAGATAATCTGATCCCTCAGTGCAGTGAATCACTGNAGCTTCCAGGAAACCTGGACTGCATCAGAGTATAGGGTATAAAAACAGGCTCCTCAACACATGAAGCTCAGAGCTCAGGAGAAGCACGAGACTATTTCATCTCTTCAGTCAACACACCTAAAATTGTGAGTTCAGTGGATTTCTTTTCCTTTTTGCTCTAAACATGTCAGTTATTGATAGTTTGGCATTGCTTTTTATTAATCAATTTTTTCTTTTATTTTGACAGAAATTCCTTTTTTGATTATTACAGGAGAGTGATATAAGATGTCTACCTCGCTGATGCAGTTGGTCTGCTTTTCTTTAGGTATGTAAATGTAGCTCAAACAGAATTTCAACCATTTTGAATATATTTTTGTTACATCCTCTTTGACCCATAGTCTAACACCTGTCTCTGGTCTCTGTCATCAGTGCTGTCCATGTGGTCTACTGTATACTGCTGGTCTTACCACGCGTCGAACAACACAATGAACTGGGAATCAGCCAGAAAATGGTGCAGGGAACATTTTACTGACATGGTGGCAATTCAAAACCAAGAGGAGATTGAGCACCTGAAAACTCTGCTGCCCAGGAGGAGAGGCTACTACTGGATTGGGATTCGCAAGGTTAATAATGTCTGGACCTGGGTTGGAACCAACAAACCACTGACAAAAGAGGCAGAAAACTGGGCAACCAATGAACCAAATGGGGGCAGGCTGCAAACATCGAGCCAAGCGGAGGATTGTGTTGAGATGTACATTAAAAGGGAGGTGGATGAAGGAAAGTGGAATGATGAGATGTGCTCAAAAAGTAAAACTGCGTTGTGTTATACAGGTGAGCTCTTCATTTTTCTTCAGTTTTCCTGATCTTAAGTTGAAAACGTCATTAAAGCTTAAAATCCAAAGAATTTAAAATACGTGTTTTTTGGCAGCGTCCTGTAAAACGGATTCATGCCTCCATGGTGAATGTGTGGAGACCATCAACAGCCACATGTGCAAATGCAATCCAGGTTTTTATGGAGACAAGTGTGAGCAAGGTGAGAAAATGTACTTAGTTTTTTTTATTTTTTTCCAGTTTTGGTTCACGTTGGTATTTACCTTTAAATGCATTTGACTAAATGTATTATGTTCTATTTGTAGTTGTAGAATGTGACAAAGATGCAGTGATCCCCCCCCAAAAAGGAAGGGTTGATTGCATCCATAAGTACGGGAACTTCTCCTATGACTCGCTGTGCCAGTATTCCTGTGAGGAAGGATACCAACCAACTCTGTCAGAACCTCAGAGATGCCTTGCAACAAAGGACTGGTCCAGTCAGGCTCCTACGTGTGAATGTAAGTCTAACTGTAACAGAAAGCAACACAGGAGGAAGCATTTCAACCTTTTCTGAGTTAGTAATAAAGGTTTGTATTCATTTTTTGTCCTGCCGCCTGCAGTGGTTCGGTGTCAGGAACTCTCTGCTCCTGCAAGAGGATCAGTCAATTGTTCTGACCCCCTGGAAAAATTCAGCTATCTTTCAAGCTGCAGCTTTACCTGTGAGGAAGGATACCAACTGGATGATTCCTCCTTCTTTACTCTACAATGTGAATCATCGGGGAAATGGAACACATCAAAGCCATCGTGTGTCGGTACGGCTGCTGATTTTCCACAATTAGAAAAACTTTTTTTAACAATAAAGATCACATTTCTGTCTTTTAGACAAACTGAAAAAGGTTTATTTGACATGTTGTAAAATCGTTTGCTGCTGTCCAGTGCTCTGTACTCACTTTAAATTGAGGCTATTTTGTAAACTTGTGTTTTCAAGAATTGAAAAATATTTCAAAAGCTTATTTCAATTCAATTTTTTTTTTTACAGCTGTTCAGTGTTCTGCTCTTCAGGATCCAGACAATGGTTTTATGAGCTGTGAAGACATGACTTTCAGCTATACAAAGTCCTGCAGCTTCAGATGTTCCCCTGGCTATCGCCTTGTGGGACCAAGCAGGGTCACATGCACAGCAGCAGCTGAATGGAGTGAGCAGGTGCCACACTGTGAAGGTGAGAGTTAACTTTAAATATGCACTCCTTAGAAAAAGACCTGAAGCCACTTTAAGAATAAGCAGAAAGGTCTTGCATAAAAATTCTATAACTGAATTTTTTTTTTTCCTTTCCCAATGACAGCCATAACTTGTCAGAATCCGGGAACAGGAGATAATCTGATCCCTCAGTGCAGTGAATCACTGGGAGTCAACTCTTCCTGTAACTTCAGCTGCGAACCAGGCTTTAAACTGCAGGGAGAGAAAAGCATTCAGTGTTCTGAGGATGGTCAGTGGAGTCATGCTACGCCCACCTGCAAAGGTATGATTATTCAATCATTTAGTGTTTTGTTTCTGTAAAGTTTTCTGTACATAAAATCTTCAGTTTCTCCACNAATGGTTTTATGAGCTGCGAGGACAGAAGTTTCAGCTTTACAAAGTCCTGCAGCTTCAGATGTTCCCCTGGCTATCACCTGGTGGGACCAAGCAGGGTCACATGCACAGCAGCAGCTGAATGGAGTGAGCAGGTGCCACACTGTGAAGGTGAGAGTTACCTTTGAGTGCGCACTCCAAAAAAACAGAAAATATTTCTTGCCTACATGTGCACTCAATTGTAAGCTTGATGTGTTGTGTTCCATTTTATAACATGATTCCTCCTTATTCCCCAGCTGTCAAGTGCCCTCTTCTTGAAGAGCCTGAAAATGGTCGTATGAATTGCACAGACAGCCTGCAGGCTTTCAACTCTACATGTTCCTTCAGATGCAATCCAGATTTCCTATTAGATGGACACAAGATCCTGACTTGTAATCGTCGTGGCACTTGGACCGAAAAGAAACCCACTTGTCGAGGTAAATAAAACAGAAGATTAAAAAGAGGTTCCCATAAGAGAAAAAAAGTCAATGTTCTAAATATAAAACTGAGTTGATCCTGGGTCAGATTATTCACATTCGGTGGTGTTTCCACAGCTGCTCCAGTTTCTGCCACTGTTGTTACTGGTGGGGTTGCAGCAGGGGGCACCGCCTTAGTATCCGGTCTGTCTCTGGCTATGTGGGTTATGAAAAAACTGAAGCAGAGAGCCTCCAAGTTTGAGCTGAACAGGTAAATGTCGTTTTTTAACAGGTCAAATCAGAAATTTTAAGAATCAATAAACTCATCTTGTTTTCTTCTCATGTTGTTCCTCACAGCAGCTCCGAGGTGGAGGCACCACTCCAGGTCTACAAAAACAGCATCGACAGTCTCATCTAAGCATCAACTTTAAAAAAAAAAACAACACTTAAAAATAAATTTAACCAAAAAGGATTAAAGTTAGAAGTATGAATTTTCTCCCAATGGGAGTTTAATATAGAACATATTGTTCTACTACACATCAGTATGCTGGAAATCTATTTTATTTTGGCCTTTTTGTGAATGTTGCACAAGATTGTGGGTGAAATTGTGAAATAACTTTCTTACGGTATATAAATATATATATATATATATATATATATTTCTATACAGTATGTATTTATAGGATCTGTATTTCTACATATTTAATGTAAAAATAATCATTGCCCTTAAGGTCAGCTGCGTCTGTACATGCTTGGGCACATTTTTATATGCAATTAAACCTAATAAATGTGTTAAAAACTGAAAATGTATTCATTATATATCACACATCACCGTGTCCTATATTAGACCAGTTCTGTTTCCATATTAAGCATTAAGGTTTAGCTATCAACAAAAAGTCCTACCATGTATGCTTGCTCAGCAATTATGTCTGTCTCAAACTTTTCCCACACTCTGATCAATGACAGTCATCCTGTTTCTGCCTCTGAACTGACCTCTGTTTCAAAGGGGTAGAAAAATAATACGGGTAAAATCCCCAGGAAGTAAAATGAACTTCTGCAATTGTCTGTTTCACAAATGATCAGCATTCTCTGCAGAGAGGTTGTCATTTGTCAGCAGTTAGGGAGAATGACCAAAGGGTTATAAGTCAAAGTCCCATAGCAAAAACTTTCACTTCTTCAACTAGACCAAACCTGGCCTATTGTTTAACGTGACCTTGACCGCATAAGTCTCTGTCTCCACGACATCAACAACATCTATTTCAGATTACTGTGTCTTGGTCAGCTCAATGGCTTTGCTTTAACACAACTTATTTCACAGAATGTGTTTTCCTTGAGGGTCACAATCCGTCACTTCAGTAGTAGAAGTTCAGGCAGACAGGCATGTTTACCTTTGTTAATTATAAATTATGCAATCAATGTGGTACTATCTTAAAAATTGCAATATCTTAATCTGATACCCAAAGAAAAAGAAAAAAATATATTTTATTTTTGTGTTTGAGTGAGCATTCATTTTATCTGAGAAACCTAAAAGCTTCACTCTTTATTGGTATGTTGTGAGAGACAGATCCATTTACAGAAACAGAACAAAAACGGCTTATTGTGCAGTAAGGTATTGATGGTTGAAATTTCTGTATTTTTATATCATGAAAAATTTCAAAGCATCTCAGATCCCATTAAATCTGTAACAATAGTTAGACTTTTTAAGCAGAAGATATTCTGATAAAAAATACTTAAATGCAATACGGATTAATTCCTTTAAAGCTATTTAAGCAATTGGCACATGTCTGCAACAGGTTGTAAATAATCTTATTAAGTGGATGTGGGTAGAGAAACCAACATTTAATGTGGCAGATAAACCGGAGAGCAGCAAAGCCAAGGGTTGCATTGGCCATAAAGATCCCCATTAAAAAGTGAATAAAGAAAAAAAGACTTAGCTGTCATATATGGACGCACTGTTTATACTGTATATTTCCCATGCACCTTTTTCTTCCTTTGGCACTTTCTTCTTCTCTTTTTGACTATTTGAGCTGATGTAACGAGTAAATTTCTCCACTGTGAGATCAATAAAGTCAACCAATCAATCAACCAAGGATCACTGTTTGTTACGGCCCGAAGTCTTTCCTTTGGGTCTTTAAAATCCTTGTTTTACAGCTTCTAATTGGTGCTGATTGGAAGTGGAGGCAGTTGGCCAGGATAAAATCAGATCCAGATGAAGATGCACCATTCTTTCTCACGAAGCTAGCTCATTCTTTCTGTCCCTTTCCCTCTCCTCTCCAACCAGTTATGATTTTTTTGTTAAATAAATCCCATTTTAAGTTATCCCATGCGTTGTGGAGATCATTTTCTAAAATGATCAAATAAAAAATAACAAAGACATCTATGCAGACATAAAGAACAGCATAGGAAGTCGAATGATTTACAGATGACTCTGTGATAAAAATGTTTTCCTGGTTCCTGGGATTGAAAGCAGTCAAATCAGGAGTCAACAATGAGTTTGGGGATTATGCGATCATGCCGGTAATCAGCGGCACCAGAGTAAACCTAGAGGAAAAAAAATCCATCTCTATTCTATCAAAGAAAAAAAAAACTCATACTAAAACAACCTGACAGACTAAGACATGGTTATATAACTCAGAAACAGAGAGCCTGAATAATATTTATTTCCTTGTACTTAAAAACAAGAAAATCGACCCTAGAATCAGAAAATGAGTGGAATTCCCCAAAAGATTAATTCAAGTTTAACTAGTCTGATAAATCCTTCGGCACCTCCATTCAGTTCGTATTGTAAACATCCAGCTATTCAACGATGATGCCAGCCAAACTGGCAGAGAGAAAGTATAAAAGTCTTTCTCTGACTTGAAGCTGCACCAAACTAATGGCTGTGGTTTGAGGTTAAACATAACTGGGAAAATTTACTAAAAATCAAGCTGCCACTTACATCAGCAGTTCTGGGTAAGCAAGATCTTATTTTGTTACCGAATGACTTTCCAAAGCTCTTCACTTTTCACCTTATTTTTTTCAAACAGATAATAGCTGCTAACTGAAGATGAAGTGGTTTCTGTTTAGCATCTTAGGTGGGTTTTGGTTATAATACATTGAGGAGTTGATTTAGTATTAGCAATCCTTAAATTTAAATATAATCTGTTTTTAGGTTGGTCCTTTGCTGATGTTAACTTGGGATGGACGTATCACTACTCAACAGATACAATGAACTGGACTGAAGCTAGAAAGTGGTGCCAGACACATTTCACAGACTTAGTGGTGATACAGAGTGATAAAGAGAATGCATATATTGCTTCCCTACTACCCACAAAAGATAGCTCTCCATATTATTGGATTGGTATCACCAAAAAACAAATAAATGAAACCTGGAGTTGGGTTGGGAATAACAGCACATGGGTCGGTAACACGTCATGGGCTGAAAATGAGCCAAACAACAACTTAAGCGCAGAGTTCTGTGTTGAGATGTATGTAAACAGTCGCAATAATCATGGGAAGTGGAATGATGAGAAATGTGCCAACAAAAAATATGCAGTTTGCTACAAAGGTGAGTACAAATTGTTACTTTCATAAATTAAGTTAACAGTAAAATAAAATTGTTGTAATATGGCATCAGAAGCAACAAAGTCAAACTCTTCTCAACAGCTCAGTGTAACCAAACATCATGTGTAAACGGCATGTGCTGGGAGACCATAAACAGCACAACCTGCCTGTGTTATCCTGGCTATGAGGGAGACAAGTGTCAAACAGGTGAGAAGAAAATTACAAGAATTTCCCAGTACAGCGTAAAGATTGGCTCAAGATAATTTGTGCAAAAATAGCAAGTTTTCAAAAGCTCTGATCTAGAAGGTCACGTTCAATCTATCACAGCTCAGGAAGTACAAAATGCCAGAATAAAGCAGATCCCTTTATTGATAACAGTTTAGACAGCTGACCTGTTTGTTATCTGTTGCACACACTGTCATTAATATTGTTTTTTTACTCACCCTGCATGTTTTCAGAACATTAGACTCAACATCTGTTTCCTTTGTTTCCTTAGGCATACTTAATTAACAAAATATACACACATCGGCAACTATTTCCTTTCAAAAACATTGAACATTCGAAGAACTATCCGATGTTTGGAGTATTATATAACAGTTTTGTGTTTGACCCGCAATTGCTCCCAGGTGTGGAATGCCCCCCTCTGTCTGCACCTGAAAATGGTGACTTTAACTGCTCAGGAGGCGTGACGCACAAATTCAACACAACGTGTCACTTTAAATGCCATCCGGGATTCATCATAAATGGCTCATCTGATGTGACCTGCGAGACCAACAGGATCTGGAGTGATCCTCAACCTGTTTGCTCNATATATATATATATATATATGCATCTGGCCAAAGTAGTAGATCTGGACATAGATTTGGAGTTAGTGGTTCACATGACCTGGAAGCTATTGAAGAAATATCAATTATTTTTGTAATTAAAAAATTAAAAAATGTTTAAAAATGTTTAAAAATATACAAAGGCTTAAAAAGGAATAATATACAAAGGCTTAAAAAGGAATAAAATTGAGTGTGCCTCATCAGGCTAATAGTAAAACAATTTCACAAAGAATTTAATTCAGTAGGTCACATGACCTTGAAGCTATTGAAGTAAAGTTCCAACTTTTGTCTTTAAAAATAGCATAAAAATTGAAAATAGCTTAAAATTGCATAAAAGCAAGTGTGCATAATGGCATGGTTTTATATTAGTTTTGTCTGACTTGGTCATAAGATAAGGAATTTATTGATTTTTGTTTATCAGGAGTACTTGGTTCAAAGATTTGTCGGAGTCCCTCATTCAGATCAACTGATGGCTAGATCCCGCTGACTCTGCGGAGCTTAAATATCCAACTTCAAACAAACGTCACTGTGGTTAAAAAATGGACAAAACTCAAAAGTATTTGTGAGGTAATGCAAAACAAAAAAAGAGCCCCATGTTCCCCAGAGGGCCTCATACTTTTCTATTACACAAAAAAAAAACAAGAAATAAAAGTTGTTAGCATTTGCCTCAGTATTTTATCTTGTTGGATAAATATGCCAGGCCTTCTCCTCTAAATTTCCTTTATTGCCCTCTACATCATCTCAATCAATTTTGATAAGAACCACAGAAGGTAAAGAAACTCTTCAGTTCTGCTGTAATAAACTATGGATATGGATAAACTATTAGATAAAGAAAAATGGTATCTGAATTTCTAACTATCCTAAATCTTACTAAATGATAATTTTTGCTGTATATAATGTCAAAGTAATGTTCAAGTTGTCTCAACACAATTAATTTCATTAGTGTACCTTAAATCCGTATGATATAGTATTCATGGGTCTGCTGTTTTCCCTCCATTCAGAGGTTCATTCAAATTTGTTAGTGATCAAGAGCTGAAGAATTTTCCCTCGATAATCACATTTATCAAAACACAAATTAAATCAACTTACTTTCTTGGTATTCAGACAATTTTTTTTTTTTTTTTTT